TAGTAGCATCTAGTGGTGAGGATTGTAGACTGAAACCAGCTGAAACTTCTCCCATGTGCCAAAGGTGAACTCCTGGTTAGAATTCCTTCAGTGTTCATTGTTTAGGTGGTTTGTATGGGGAACTGAATTATCTGCAGAGGTCTCGCCCACCACAAAACATATGGACCAGGTGATTTAAACCGGTAAAAAGACTGAATAAAGCAGTTTGACGTTACAAATCAGTGTTTCTCCAACGCTGCTTGGTTAGTCGCAGATGGGCCGCTAGCCCAGATAACTAAAGATCCAGACGTAGGGAGCTTAATTATTTGTAGAGGTCTCTTCCCCATTGATTTTAACTGGTAAAATAGCTAAATAAAGCAGTTTTATGTTAGAAAAATCAGTGTTTTTCCAATACTGCCTGTCGCAGAGGGTCTGCTTAGTACAGTGATCGACGCAAAAAAAAGAAAATGGCCCCATCTAGAGCCAGTGTTTGGTTTGTTTGTTCTGGACTACTGTAGAAACATGGTGGTGCAACAGCGGACTCCATGGACTAAGGTAACCGAAACATGACAGTTCTTATTTTCAGACAGCGCCAGGTAAGCCATTTCCTTGTTTCCAGTCTTTGTGCTAAGCTAAGCTAACTGGCTGCTGGCTGTATAGACGTGAGAGTGATACCATTCCTCTCTCAACCAGAAAGCAAGTATTTCCCAAAATGTCAAACTATTCCTATGAAGGGACAGTTCACCCCCAAATCAAAAATGCATATTTTACCTCTTACCTGTAGTACTATTTTATAGTCTAGATTGTTTTGGTGTGGGTTGCAGAGTGTTGGAGATATCAGCTGTAGAGATGTATGTCCTCTCTCCAATATGATGGAACTAGATGGCACTCAGCTTGTGGTGCTCAAAGTGCCAAAAAATACATTTGAAAGACTCAACAGCAATGTCTCTTTACAGAAATCATGACCTGGTTACTCAAGATAATCCACACACCTTGTTGTGAGCAGTTTCATGTTGGGATTATTTTCTCTTTACTGACCGACACCCGCCAACCGCATCACTGCGCAGAAGGAGGAGTGCATCTACTGCTAGCTCACCTAGCACCACTGAGCTAGCCAATATTAAAGCTCAGCCAAGGAGGACGCCTTTAATGTTTACATCTGGCATTGTCTCGAACCTCTCCTCCATTAGTAAACACATGCCTCCTAACTAACCCTTTCACCACGCAGGAAGAAGCATAAATGTATTCATGGATGAGAAGTTAGAGCTCCTGACAGCATGACGTAAACATTAATGGCGTCTCCCGGCTGAGCTGGCTGAGTGGTGCTAGGTGAGCTAGCAGTAGATGCACTCTTCCTTCTACATGGTGTGTGTAGTTTGGTAGAAAGAAAATAGTTTGTACATCAAACTGCTCACAACAAGGTCTGTGGATTATCTTGAGTAGCAGACTTTGATTTGGGGGTGAACTGTCCCTTTACTTAATGTATTGATCTGTTCATCGTTAGATCAGCTTGTTGATCAGTCAGTGCTGAGTCTCCACCTCCACCACAGTCCAGTCTCCAGGTGGAGAGCTGCCCCGGCTGTCTGGGGAGTAGCTGCTGACGGAGGTGACTGTGGCGGCAGGAGGGCTGACCTGAGGCAGCAGGTTGGGCCACATGCTGCTCTCCAAGGGGCTTAAGGTGCCCCCGGTCCCCACAGGGAGGAGGAGGAGCGGAGGGCAGCCTCCGTCTCCAGACAGCATCAGGGTCTGGTTGATGAGCTGCTGGACCATGTCTACCTTCTTGTTCCATTCCAGTTCCTGTGGAGGCACTGGACGCAGCTGCCTGTGGAAATCCTGCGTGACGCTCTGGGGGTACAGCACCCTCCTCCCCACCACCTGCATGTTCCTGTTGTGCTCACCTCTGGCCTCGTCCTCCTCGTCACTGGTTTCCATGGCTTCGTAGATGGTGCAGAGCCCCGTGGACGGGGACAACATGACTCCAGTGGGGCTCCTCCTCAGCTGCTGCTGTTGTTGGATTTGTTTCTGCTGCATGCGGTACTGCTGCTCCAGCTCCAGCTGCCACTGCAGAACCTGCCTGCGGTGCCGGTGCTCCTGTTGCTGCTGCTGCAGCTGCAGCTGGAGGAGCTCCCTGCGCTGCTTCTCCAGCTGCTTCTGCTGCTCCAGCCTCAGCCGCTCCTCCTCCAGCCACTGCCTCTTCTGCCTCTCCTGCTCCTGACGGTGCTGCATCTCCCTCAGCTTCTCCTGGTGCTGCTCCAGCCTCCTTAACTGCTCTCCACCCATGCGACCGTCAACGCTGGTCTCTATCAAAGGAGGCGGGGGTGCTATCTTGGTGAAATGCGCCGCGACAGTCGGATCAATGGGCCTCCTGTTGCCTGGGACCAGTGCCAGGTAGTGGCCATTGGCTATAGGGACACCAGAAGTGTGGTTCTGGTTCCGGTTGTCTTCCCGTGAGTGTGTTTGCCACTTGTGACCTTCGTCCGCTTCATGTGTCTTCTCGTCTCCTGTGAGACAGTCAAGATCACTTGGTGCATCCATTAGAGATGCATGCATCAAACAGAACGGGTGGTACAACAACAGGAGGGTTCAGGAGAGATTTGACAAGAGGGCGAAGGTGTAACGAAAAAAAATAAAGGGGCTCCGAAAATAAAGTGACATCCATGACACAGGAATAAATACACTGTATCTACGAACAAATCATAAGGTAGTTACTGCATGATGTTTTCTCTCTTAAGTTGTCTTTCAAATAACCATATTTTCTCCTTGCGCACCACACTCACATCTGCTGCTTTGTCCTCTTTGAACACACTTTATCATGCAAGACAGCAGTCATGTGTACACAGTACAGTACAGACAACAGGTATTTGAAGAGACAGATGACAACATGGGGGACGTATCGACAAAAACATCACAGAAACTGACTGAAATGATTGAATGTATTTGTCATAAAATGATGCTAAAGGCAGGTCAATCCTTTTTTGTAAGTGCCCCTATGAAACTGTATATTATACAAGGGAAGCAGTGGTGTCCCAAAACACAAACCTGAAGTAGGACTTGCATAGTCTCATGGATATATTTACAATTTAGTAAACAATCAGACGGGTACGTGAGAGTCTAGAGGTTTTTCATGTCAGGATTTTGATCAAGAGGAGCGGGCAGGTCAGAGGAAAAAGTCATGAAAGGGAGAAAGTGTTCTTGAGCTTCAACATTCAGGTGCATTCAGGTGGCCTGTACAAAGAGTTCATGTATGTTTGTCTGTGTGAGGGAAACATTCAGGAGGTTGCAGACACATGAGTAGTTTTCACCGTTTGAATGTTTAAAGCACGTCCATGTCGATGCACTTCCTGTCCAGTTTACGTTAAATGTACCCTGTGGAGTTTCTGACCAGTGCTTGTGATATGGAGCAATGTTTAACTCATAAGTCCCTGAGTATGTGGGCGTTCATTTGGCCCCTGAGCAAAACACCAGAACCCCAAACAGCTAGATTTATTAAGATGTTTAGATATGAAAAATATTGGTTTATGTTGCTATTTGTATCTGTATCCCAAAATAAGGTACGAAAGACCCCCATAGTGCTGTACTCTTAAGTGTACCTTGTGCTGATAGTGTTTCACTCTTTAAGTAAAAATTTGAATGCAGGACACATTTTAACTTCTTCTGCTACCACTGCCAACACCAATATTCAGTTTAAGAAAGGGTCAAAGCGAGACAGTGTTTGCCTGGGGCCGCAAAATTACTACATCCGCCCCTGAAAAACCCTTAAATCGTTGCTACCTGCAGTCAGCGACACTGATGAAATACACTTAGCTGAGGTGTGATTTCCCAAATAGTCGCTTGCTTTGACATAACCACCATGGTTTTAAGGTATAGCATGGATTAAATTAGCAGAGGTATTCTGTCGGTGATATCGTTAGGCTATTAGTGTTATAAGTTAGTATGGCAGAGCCCTGAAGCCCCGCCCACACTGCTGCATGGAGCTGTTTGCGTGTTTATTTTAAGTTTAGGGCTTAGTGCTGGGTGTCAGCAAGACCGAAATATCCCAGTACCAAGTAGTATCGAAAAATCTCCAGTCAAACGATATCTGCATTCAATCCTTTTTGCGCAGGGATCTGATCTCGGACCATCTAAACTTTCTGATGCTGCCATCTCCAGACTCGCTGTCCAAGCTAACACAGCAGCGAATGCTAACGTCCAACATCAAGCTGCTAAACGATCCCAACAAACTCAAATCAACACCGACCCTTTGATGCTAATACTTAGCCCTGTCACTGGGTGTGTGCGACTGGGTGGACTCTCACAACTGTCCCCAGCTCTGAGCTCACACTCCTGCATCTACAACCAGTACAGTCCATAGTGTGCTAAGGTTGCTTGGTGTGTACGACGGAGTTGGCAGCTCGATGTCACCAAAACATTCGTAAGTATGGCTATAGGACAAACCACTCCATTCATATTATGGGTAACAAATGAAGTACTCTATTGGTATTGGTATCACTTTAAGGGTACTGGTATTGTAATTTTTTAAATGATACCCAACCCAACTGAACACCCATAGGTCCCCAGGACTTCACCCGCCAGGTGTCAAGTAGATTGGATGAACGGATTCCTTGCTTTATAGTTAGATTCAGCTTTTTAAGTGTTTTGTGAAAAGGTAAATACATTCAATACGTTTGTTAAACCTCCACAGGGCACCTTCTAAGTGAGCACCACCTGCCGAGGTCTGAATGTGATGTTGGTCAGCCTGTGTAGTGTCTGTAAATGTCATGAGGGCAACAGCATGCTGGAGAACAGGGCACAGGGACACCATCAGAATCACCTCCTTGATTTGACCAAAATTCCATTTTAGATACAACACCATTGTACAATGTTGCATCACTTCCTGTTTACCGGTCATTCCCATGGTGAGGAGTTTGAGACGCCATGGGAAATCAGTCGTGTTAACACACAAATACACAGCGACTCGGACACGAGGACAGTAAAGTTCAGGCATGCTGGATCGACAGGGAAAATAAGAAACAGGAACAAAATGCCTTGCAATGATGTTTTAATGGAATTTTGAAAGATAACCTAGTGTGAACCATTCATCGATGAACATGTCTAGTGTAGAACTGTTTCAAATTCAAGGTAGTACACAGTCTTTTATGTTAGTTAAACATGCAATATACTGTTGAAATAGTAAACCAAACGCTCACTATGAAAACGTTTCAGCGAGTGTAAAGCTCAACTGTGAGAGTGATGTAGGACAATGCAGGGTCTCATCACAAATAAAAGGCTAGTTGTTAGTCTGGAACACAAATGATCAGCTAACTGAGGCTTGAAGCTTAGCCACTTAAAACCAAATGCCTGAAACACATACTGTACGTGACTGCACGTTATATACCTTAACAACCTATGCAAAGAGCGTAGAGCCTCTTGAAGCACACATTAAAAACTTCACCAACTGCAATCTAATACTCCCACACCTACCTCAACAAATCTGCCGTGTTAATATCTAGCCTTTATTTTGATAGCTAAAAGTCTTGAAACACAAACTTTTAAAATGTGACTAGTCGCTATGGTGCTGTTGAACATGAAGCGTGTGTACACAGGGTAGGGAGGACCAGGTTTCAACAGAAAAAAACAAAAACAAAAAAACAACAAATAAGCAAATACAAAACAAAAAAAAATCATTGACATTTGTTCGGTAAAAACAGTAGGATAAATACACAATGAGTCCATTTCATTCCATCTGTGGTTTTTTTTTCTTTTTCGGTTTAAAAGCTCAGTCACAGTGGACCAAATCAGTCAGTACCCCATCAGGGGCTACAGAATAAGCAGTGTTACTTAAAAAGAACATTCTACTAGAAAATGGTAGTAGCTATTGTACATAAAGGAGTTTAAGCCGTACACTCATAACCATGACCATAACAGTATGAAAGAGGGAGGCTTCATTTAAAAATTGCTACAGTCATGTTTTTTCCATCTTCTTTATTCATTTTTTAAAATCTTTTCCTACAATCTTGCTCTCCTTTTTTTCTTCTAACCCATCTAACCCAACTGGAGAGAAAACGAACAACAGGTAACGGGGGAGGGTTGCGGGGAAAAGGTGCATTCCAGGGGTAAGAGGAGGGACTTATACATTACCTGCCAGAAAACTATCAGTCTTATCACATATGGTGGAGTAGTACGGCGGCTGGCTGTCGCCGGCTTCTTCGGAATCCTCCGCCCCGAGGTGGTGACTGGGCTCCAGCGGGTCGACGTCCTCCAGGTGGTCTGCTGCAAGCTTTCCCCCCAGCATGTAGTGGTGCTCATCTAGACTGCCAGGCTGGTTGACTCCCGGGTAGCCCAAAGGCATCAGGTCCACGGGTCTGCCGAACAGGTCGTCTGCCTGGGCGGCGGCAGCAGCTGACGGCAGGGTGAGCTCCTTGATGAGGGAGGGGTCCTTGGCCTCCTCTGGCAGCTGCTCCTCATTCTCCAAGGAGAAGATCCCTGGGCTCTTTCCGCAGCTCTCAGCCATGGAGTGGGCGTTGGAGTTGGATGTGGTGCAGTCGAAACCGTAAGATGCCACAGAGTTGGCTGACTGAGGGGTGGTTCCACCTCCGTCCTCTTCGCCTTCTCCGGCTGGTGTGTCCCCCGCCTCCTCATCCTCCTCAAGAGCTGGCAGATTACAGGTGGGAGGAGGGCTTTCAAAACCGGCGCTCTCGTCTATCATAACTGGCGCATCAGGGTCGTTGATTTGCATCTCGCCCTCTGTGTCGCTTGCCTCGTCTCCTGAGGTGGATGGGGAGGACGGGGCGGATGCAGGAGCGGTTGGGGGTCCTGTTCCAAGGACCTCGTCGGCGGGGAGTGTCTCAGCCTCCTCCTCCTCTCCATCGCCTTTCTCCAAGTGAATACCCAGGTCCTGCTCCATGTCAGGCTGGACTGAAGCAGGCACTGGGGTCTGCTGTTTGTCAGAACGGGACTCCACCCCAGAGCTGCTGTCGTAGTCACGGAGCTCCTCTGGTGTGCTCGTCTCGCTGCTGCTATGAGCTGTGCTGCCCAGAGTGCCGGGCTGGGATGCGCCCACAGCTGGGGCAGCAAATAGGGCATGAGCCTCCTCGTCTGCTGAGCCCTTCATCTCCTCGTGGTGCTGCTGGGGCTCCTGCTCTGACTCAGGAGCAAAGGAAGGAGCGCTGCTGTCCAAACGGGCCTGGGCTGGAGACAGGATGGGCGTTTCAGATTCAGCAGCACCGTGGTCAGAAACAGGGCTGGGGGAGGAGACAGAGAGCAGAGATGCTGGTTGAGCCCAGGTATCACAGAAGGGGTTGGACTGGCCCCAGGAGGAGGTAGGAGGGACGCAAGGAGGAGGACCAGAGCGATTTAGGTTATCTAAACGCTCCTCCTCATTAAAGTCATCTTCGTCTACATTCCCACAGCTCTCTGTCACTCCTTCACTGTGCATCTCTACATCCTCATCCTCATCTTCATCATGCTCCTGCTGCTGGAAAGCTTTGTGATGCTCCTCTACTCTCTCTGAACTCAGGTCCATATCATCCACCCGCTCATCCTCTTCATCCTCGTCTTCCTCCTCCTCATTGGCCAGGGTTTCCACATTGGGAGAACCCATCAGATTACCATCTCCTTCAGAGCCGCGGAGGCTTGAGTCGACGAGGGCATCTGAGCTCTGGGTGCCCTCCAGTATTGCGGTGTGCTGGGTGCTGCTGAGGTCGGAGACTCCCTGCTGCCGACTGCTGGTGCAGCTGCTCACGTCCTCAGAGTCCATCCCAGACAGCTGGTCGTCACCGTGCCACCCTGCGGAGCCACCGAAGGCCGAGGACCTCACCTGGAACTCCTCAGAGGGCTGAGATGTGCTCATGTCAGTGACCAAGGATGAAGGCTGGTGGCCTAGTCTCCTCTGTTCCTCATCTTCATCCTCCTCCTCTTCATCGTCATCCTCATTTATCTCCTCATCAGCCTTTTCCACTGCCTCCTCCTTTTCATGAGGGGACATCAGGTACCTGGAGGTGAAATCATCCATGGGCGAGACACCCAACAAGTGAGGTTGTGGCGTCATGCTGAAGGCCCCTGCAGATGCAGCTATGGAGGTAGGCATGAACAGGTTCTCCTTGTCTTCCTCCTCCTCCTCCTCTTCCTCCTCCCTTGTCTCCTGTGCCTCTTCATTCTCCTTTTCCTCTTCTGTCTGGACTAAACTCTGAGGAGCAAAGTCAGATAGAGCCTGGTTCCTGTCCCAGGGGTCAGACTGCATGTCGAGCAGAGAGGAGGCGTTCTGCGGCTCTCTGACAGGAGAAACAGGACCTGTTGGGGAACTAGGAGGAGACATGACAGTGGTTCCCAGGGAGGGAACTGAGTCGTTGGTAGACTCTTCGAATTTGAAGAGGTCCAGCTGAGCTGACGGCTGTACACTGGGGGCTGCTTCCTGGACTGGTTCAGCTCTTACATCTGTCTCTGCTGACACAGACAGGGGTTCTGGGAGGGGCTCAGGAGATGTTTCTCGTACTTGAACAGGACTTGGTTCTCGTTCAGGTTCCGGTGTCAGTTCTCGTACGGGTTCTGGTGTCGGTTCTCGTAAAGGTTCTGGTGTCGGTTCCCTTACAGGTTCTGGTGTCGGTTCGCGTATAGGTTCTGGTGTTGGTTCCCTTACAGGTTCTGGTGTCGGTTCCCTTACAGGTTCTGGTGTCGGTTCTCGTATAGGTTCTGGTGTTGGTTCCCATACTGGTTCTGGTGTTGGTTCCCGTACTGGTTCTGGTGTTGGTTCTCGCAGTGGTTCTAACACTGGTGCACACACTGGTTCTGGTGTGATGTCTGAAGTTTTTTCTTGCACTGCTTCATTCTGGCTGGGCGTCAGTTCCGGTGCGTCTGCAGCAGATGGCTCCACAGCTGCTTCTGGTTCCTCCGACCCGGCGATGGCAGCTGCCGCCGTAGCGATAGCTGCAGCAGCAGCTACAGCAGCGGCTATTTCCTTTTCAGGTTCCTTTTCTGCAGCTTTGGCGCCACGTTTCACTGGAGTTGGGGTGCTGCTGCCCACCGTTTTCTTGGGGGTGGAGGTCTTGGCTGCAGTGGTTTTGGATGCAGGGGTCTTGGAAGCATCCTTGCTAGGTGTGGGCTTACTTTCTGCTTTGGAGCGGTTGGGTGTCTTTGTGTCTGCAGCTTTACTGGCAGCAGGCTTTTTGGCGGTGACATCTGATTTTGAGGCGGTTTTGGGGGTCTCAGGTTTTGCCGGCTTTGTTGTAGAGGAGGGGCGAGTGAGGGGAGACTCAGGCTTTTTGGATGCTGAAGTGGCTGTTTTGGTAACATCTGGGGGAGAAAACACAGGACAAGGAACAGGCAAACATTATATAATTAAACTAAGTAACAGCATATTATAATGGACAAAAAAGCAATTCAATATGGAAGCTTTCTCTCTCAAACTGAGGATGTGGCACATTAAGTTTAAATGGATCAGATACATCCTTTCTTGTGCATCCCTGCTCATGACATTATCATTTTGTTTTGTGTTTTACCTTTTTTCACAGGGGTTGTGTTCCTGGATGTTTGTGATGCTGGAGGTTTGCCACCAGAGGGGGTAGTGGAGGTTAGTTTGGAGGCAGCAGGCTTGGCAGTGGTGGAGGAGGGGGTTTTAGGGGTGGCAGTTTTGGCTGTAGCTGGGGAGCTCTTGGTTGTGCTGGTAGTGGGTGGCCGGGTTGAGCCTGTGGCAGGACGAGGTGATGCTGCCGCGCCAGTTGAAGGCCTGAAGAAACAAGACAAAGAAGGTTGAGAGATACAGAGAGGTTCTTAAGCACAGACATCAGAGGCAGAGATACAATGCCGGTTTCAAATTACGAACGGGCATATTTGTGTTGTTGACTTCTTTATTTACAAAAAAATACTGATGATTGATTGAAAGTGACTGAGGCATTTGAGCTGTCAGGCCACAGCTGGAGGCAAACATCAGGTTTCTCCCTGATCCCTGTTGGTCAGCCCTAAACTGTAAGTGCCTCAGAATGGTTCTGACAGGGAGCAAGACTTTGTCGTGTCATTCATTAGTCACTTGTACTGCCAGAGGATGCCCTAAAGACAGCACACATGAGCAAGACTGCTTGCATAAATTGCAAGACTAAGAAACAAATCATGTAGGGATAAGGAGAGGAGAGGCCTTTTTTAATGGGTGCACAAGCAGCCAAGAGCTCTGACCTAAAAAACTTTCACAGATGTGGCATAAGAAGCCTAATTCCACTGAGTACTTGTTAACATGTTTCCACAAGGAATTCGCCGCTGAAGACTTTCAAAGACAAGAGGGCAGACTGACAACTCATTTTTATTGATTCAAAACTCTACCTGGATCAGAATGAGAGATACATTACAGCTATGTTAAAGTCCTCACGCTGGTTTCCTGTCAGTTTTTGTATTGACTCAAAAACATTTTAGACTTGCTTTTAAGGCACTTCATTGCACCTGCCTATTTGTCTGACGTGCTTGCCTTGTATGAACCAGGTCAGCCCCTCAGGCCCTCTGGCACGAGTCTTGAAGTTGTTCCAAAGTGCAGCAAAAGAACTAAAGATACAGCTGGTATTTATGAGCAAGCCCACAATACGTCACATCCTTTCATGCCAAGGGGGGAAACAAAGCAGCGTTCACTGCTGTGCTGAAGAGTCGCTGTGTAGCTTTCAGCAGGTTGAATCCATCCAATCCAAAAATCCATTTCATCTAAAATAAATGTAATATTGTCTATGTATGTTATAGATGTGTATTATGTGCATTTAAAAGCTCCCAGCATTTACAGGCTGGGGGAAAGCCTTTAACCATGCCCCCTAACTATGACCAGACACTGACTGTATCTATTAGTTAGGCACCATGTATTTTATTGTCTTTGATCTATTTTATATTTTTATTACTTCACTTTTTTCTTGTGTCAGTCTCAAATTGTTTATATTTGTCGTTGTCTTATTATCAGCTTGTTCAGTCATCTGTTAAGCATACTAAATTGCTCTAACCTGTATGAAGGCAGCTATACAATTAAAGTTTGACAGATTGATTGATTATAGAAGACTATGAGCAAACAGCATGATGTGAGGAATCTGCATTTACTAAATAATACATCGACCGTGTCTTCAGTGTAGCAGCATCTAAGGCCAAGCTCACGCTTCCACAGGCTCATGACAAACTCCCCCAAGGGGCTTTGAAGTGAGGCAATCTGGACGGTGAGTCACAGTGGACCCCAGAGAGGCATCCCGACCCGAGTCAACCCTGTCCATGATCCCTCGTCTATACCCACTGCCCACGAGGGAATGACACTTGGGGTGGTGTGCATCAGCCTGCCTGCTTTGGCGGCCAGCCTGGCCCAGAAGCTGGCTTCTATGTCACATTTGAGCGAAGTAACCTACATCTAGTAGTCCTGACAATCTCGTGGGCCCAAGCTACACTAACTGCCTGTTTCTAAATAAAGAATTGAGCTAGTGCTGGTAGAAAGAGAACGGGGAGGTAGTGGGAGAGAGTGAAGATGTCTGGGACCATGTTAATCTTTAATACTGAAAGGAGAACAAAAATAACTTCTCAAAATCCCCCAGCTGGAGCCCTGGGCTGTGGTGAAAGCAGTACACTCATTGTACAAGGGCAGTGAAGAGGTGCGTGCTCTCCACAACCTGGCAAAGGTACTGAACACAGTTTTGGTAACATGAAATAAGATTAAAGCCAGGGAGCAACGGGTGGCAACACAATCAGGGTGTGGTCACGTCAGAAGTTCAAACAAGCTCTTACAGCTGATCCTCGTCGTTTAGAATTAGCTTTGGGGTAGTGAAAGGTGTGTTACTGATACTGAGGCTGTCGGATCATGTTGATGCAGTTTTACTGATATAAAAAACCACTAACACACTCATCTGTGACACACTGATGTTCTGTGTTTGGACCTGACTGGAAAATCAGCAAAATGCTGATGAAGACATTTGCTAATAAATGTGTTAGTGTTCTTGTAGCCAAACAAAACCCTCTCAGAACCTTGGAACAGATACGATGAAAATGTCTATCACGTGGCACAGTGGTGAAATGTTGGCTGCAGCGCTAGCTAAGGGAAAACTGTTTTAACAACAAATCTATTCTTTTAATCAGACAGTTTAGTCTGAGCAAATAAATTTTATCTAAAATACATTCTCTACTGGGAAGCTGACGGGTGGTCCAAAAAGTGGTGGGGAAAAAAAGATTCACTTAAGTATCGCAATTTTACATTTTACAGTGTTTCATTCAATTTTATAAAGTCTGAATTTATGTAATTCAAATGCGGAGCTGGAAAGAAGTTGCCTTGTTTATTGTGGTAATCCATGAGTAACATGACGTCGGACGAAGGATGGACCTTCAGCTGCACGAATAGCAACTGCCACAGCTCAAGTTTCTTAAGTTTTTTTTTAAAAAATTACATTCATTCGTGTTGTTATTTTACTTGAACTGTCTCCGTTTGATTCCACTCTCACCTGGTTCACCAGTAGTTACAGCAACTCAAATTCAGCCAGCCCAGCGCAAACTCCCAACCAGATGAGCAAACTTTCTGTTGCTGCCGTTACACAGATTAGAACCAGTCTGCTCTGACCCCGGTGCTGGGGTTTGCACTGCAACTGAAGATGTGTCTCCAAAGCTAAGGCTTGCTCTCCTGTCAGGGAATACTCTCCTAAGAGCGGGGAGAAGTGGAGACGCTGTGGATTGACTAGTTCTTGTGTCATTTGTGGGCTGAGAGGGAGTGAGAGTAGGAGACAAAACTGAGCAAATCAATGCACTGTGCACAGCATTGATATTGTGGCAGTCTCCACAGATGAGTCAATGTATGGGGAACACTGCAGGGACAGCTAAATGTAGCCGTTTAAGATAACTTCAAAATGTATATGATTTTTCTTTTTTGCATGTACGTTTTACTAAGTAGGTAAGTAATGTAAATTTAATATAGCACCTTTGATAGAGTAAGGTTTAACTGCAGTAACCATAAAAACAGTTAGCCTCTTAGTTTATTTGCAATTTAAAAGTAAGAGACTGACCGACTTACTGTAGATATGTGTTGTTTTTGGAAATATGTCTCATGATATACAGCCTTAAAAGAGTATGATTCAACTTTTTCCCATGGTCTTCAAAAAGTAAACAAAATTCACAATAAATCGTAACAATGAATGGCAACACTTAAATATCAAAATACATATCAAATCAGTACCCAAGTATCATGATAGTAATGAATCGTGAGATAAGCATATGGTCCCAGCCCTACCACAAAGTTTTGCGTCCTTAACTTAAATTAAGAAACACTGAATGAGATGTTAAGATTTTAAGCTTGACATTGTTTGCCAGTGGACAAGATGTTAAAAGGTGAAATGAGAATAAGCTCTTGAAAAAGGATGTTTGAGTCTGTGGTGCCTGAGTTAGAGAGTAAAAGATAAGAAAAGAATTACAGGGCAAGGAGAGAATTAAAAGATAGAGGACCTGGCATTAGAGATGAAGTATGCTGAGGGGATATTCAGAGAGAGCATTCACAATAATCTGTCTGATAAAAGGAATATGGATAATCCAAAAGGGCAGGACAACTTCAGAGAGTGCTCGAAATGAACCAGGCCACTGAGAGAGAGAAAGAGGGAGGAGTGAGATAGAGACCAAGACAGAGAGAAAGAGATGGGACGGAGGGGCCAGATAATACTCATCCGATTAAACATTATCTTCTATCAATGTCTTCTTCTTCCTTATCACAGAATACAGACATAAACCCGTTACAGTATTTAAGAGACCAGGCCACAGCAAAATAAGGTCTTGTGTTGTTGTGAGATCAGAAGTTTAACAACACTTGGCCGTGGTGACAATGCCTGGATACAGTGATGCATTGATGCCTGAATAATTTTAAGCGTCCATTCATTCTGTAATTATGCTCACTGTCAGCTGAATGACAGAGAGGCCTGTAAGAGTTATTGTACTCTTTAAATGATTCTATTTTAACTCAATGGGCAGCTTGTAAGAAGCTGTGTTCATTGTTCACATGTCACCACAGGCCTCGAGGAGAGAAACAACACCATGAATCGGGGTTAAGGCAAATGTTGGACAGAAAGCCCAGAAATGCACTGGAGCTGAAAAATGGGATGACTGACAGTTAGATGCTGCAGGCGCACTGAGGCACACAGAAAAAAACACTAAAGTTCGCCTTGGTGGCCTGAGGATCATTAATAACATTCTAGATTTATTGCAACTACACACTTGTGTGAACGGTTGCCTGCTGGTGCTGCTTTGCTGTGATACAACAAGAGTCAGGCTATGATTTAAATAATGAGATGCACCATGAAAGGGGCAAATGAGTAAGCAGGAGCTAAGCAAGCATGCAGGCAGGCAGACATGTTCCCTGCAGGAGAGGCGAGAAACCGTGGAGGAAGGACCTCCCTCCTCTCAAGACAAAAAGCAAATTAAAGATGATGCTGTGTTAATTAAGCACCAGAAATATGGAGGCAGGATCTTCACCCTGGTTTACGTGGCCACAATCATGTGACTGAGGGCACTTTGGGAATTTTACTGTTAAATGAGCCTGATCAGAGCTCTCCTCTCTAAATGGGACCGACGCTTTTGTAATGAATCTTTATGGGACAATAGGAGCCAGTTGGCACTCACTGTGGTGGACTAAGCCACAGTGGTGTCTGCCTCTTCTGCAGCCGCAGCAAAGCAGGAAGCTGCTCCCTGCTCTCTGTGTATAGATAAAATCCACCTAAACCTGATCAACAGTTCATGTACTGTACTGTGCAG